TTTTATTAATCTTCCTTTGCTTTCTTTCTTTCTTAAGATCTCCTTACACTTTTGATCTCTATATATATGCAATAGAAACTTCTTATCTTTTTCCTATTACAAGTTAATCTAGGAACCTTTATCTTTATCCTAAATCTATTAGTTATTCACCTTATCTTTAGAATAACTTGTTTCCTAAGTTATCTCTTGAAGCTTATCCTTAAGATATGTAAGAATACCAAAATACCCTTAAGATATGAATGGGGATCCTTCAAATAGGAAGAGGAGGTCGTGGCATAAACTGTCAAAAGATCATGAAACCTGTGGTGTTGTGGGAGAAACATTCTCAAAGAAAGCCCTGCGATTACTGGTACAAAGTGGAGCCAGATAATTCGCTGAAGGACAAAGTACACGAGATGAATGTGGTCCTTAGTTTAAGGGGGAGAATGTGAGATAATAAACAAAGTCCCACATTGGAGAATTAGACAAGGAGTGTCTAATATATAAAGGGAAGTCCAACTCTAATAATACGAGGCCTTTTGGGAAGGAAACCAAAAGTAAATCCGTGCGGGCTTTGCCTCTTGGGCCCAAAGCGGACAATATCGTACTAATAAGAAAAGATAGAGTTGGACAAAGGATTTCACAATCCCAACACCTGATTCCCACAAGATGACAAAATGCAAAAGAGATTTTGCCACTTGATTCTCGTGGCCACTTAATTATTCTCAAATACTATATCTAAGATATACTCCCTAATTTTCAGATATAGCTTTTCTTAAACCAATTAAAAGTATAAGTAATCAACTTATAAATTAATGAATGGTGCAACTATTGTTGAAAGTTCATCTTTTAAACTAAACTATGAAATTCTTTTATTTATATTTGATAAAAACATAAAATATACAATTCAAAATTTTCTCTGATCATTAGAAAGGTTTTTAATGAAAAATACTTAATTTTTGTCACATACTTTTGAATTTAGTTGGGTTTTAATCCAAGTTTTTCATTATCATAACTAACAAAGTATAAGAAGATAATTGAAACTCTTATAATTTTTTAAACGTTCATACTACACACAATTATATATTTATATATCTTACAAACCGAATCTATATATGGAAAACACGTAGATACTACACACAATTAAGTACATAACAGATGGACATGCACATCATCACTTGCATTTCATGTGTACGTGTTCCTCAGCTAATCATACCATTTTTTTTTTTTTTTACATCAGAATATATAATGATCTTTCGACATTCAGAATCGTTTTAACTTTTGCATTTTTTTCTGTTGGGTCAATTCAATATCGAACATGTATAATAACAACACAAACAGGAGTTGAAATGCCTTCTTGACATGGTTGATAATCCTCCACGTTGAAATAACGCCTATCTTTCATATCTATTTGACTTATTTGGATTCTTCTATTAAAAACCATGTCTAAAACACCACTAACGTATTTGATAATATATGTCGGACTCCACTCATAACTCAATGTTGTTAATTTTAACTGATTAGAGAATTTAATTTCATGCTGTTCAGCATTTTAAATTCAATTTCTAAAAAACGTAGTTTTTAACAAGGAAAGGTTTACTTCATGCAACGTCAGTGGTATAACTTTGCTATGAAATAGTACTTGTTTCTTTGAATCAAAAACCAAAAGCAAAGAAAAAAACACAATCATCACTTTGGAGTTGAATGGAATATACGTACTAGAAACAACAGAACATGAACAAATTAATAAATAATCCCCTATATATTAATTGAGAAACATTTGAAAAGATGTAACCCCAATTTTGTATTAATTAAAAGAGGCCCCAATGCATAGGTGTCATTCAATTAGGTAACCCCAATTTTGTATTAATTAAAAGAGGCCCCAATGCATAGGTGTCATTCAATTAGGTAGTCAATTAGATTCAATTGAAAAATAAGTAAGTTCACATTGGATTTTTATAGGTTGCTAGATACATTATTTAGTCAAACTATATGATATAATGATATGATATGTTATTTTCTTTCCATAAATAAAACCTACGGAATTACCATAAATGACTAATATATATATATGACACTTAATGATTGTTCCCTAAGATATAATTACTATTTTATTTTATTTCCATAAATAAAACCTACGGAATTACCATAAATGACTAATATATATATATGACACTT